AAGCAGAAACAAATCTAAGAGATATGAAAAGTAAGGATAATCACAATTTTAGTAAAGTTTATGGTTATCTTAAAGAAAATATAGTCATACTAGCTGAGAACTAAAATCTCATACAACACAAATAAGAATTTGGGAGAACAAAGGACATGAGAACATGCTGAAGTATTTATTTTGTTGGAAAAGGAAGAAATGCAGATATGTGTAAAAAAGTTATCAATCAGGGGCACGTGGCTGGCTGGGTCGGTGGAGTGAGCCGCTCTTAGTTTCAGGATTGTGAGTTCAAGCCCCACGCTGGGCACAGAGATTACTTGAAAATAAAATTTTAAAAAAAAAGTCATCTGTAAATAAACATGAGAACAACTTTTAAGTTAGGGCAACTGCCATGAAAACAAAACAAAATATATGATGTTCAAGCCAACAGAAGAAAACTAGATCTACCCAATGGAAAGCAGAAAACAAGAAAAAGAAGGAGACAAAGAAAAGCGATGGAAGATAAAAATGAAATGCAGGGATGCCTGGGTGACTCAGTGGGTTAAGCATCTGCCTTTGGCTCAGGTTGTGACCCCGGGGTCCTGGGATCGAGCCCCACATTGGGCTCTGCACTGAGTGGAGAGCCTCCCTCTTCCTTTCCCTCTGCCTGCCCCTCCCCCTGCTTGTGCTCTCTTTCTCTCTCTAAAAAATAAATAAAATATTTTTTTATTTTTTTTTAAGATTTTATTTATTTGTTTGACAGAGATAGCGAGAACAGTAACATAAGCAGGGGGAGTGGGAGAGGGAGAAGCAGGCTTCCCGCCGAGCAGGGGGCCCGATGCAGGGCTCGGTCCCAGGACCCCAGGATCATGACCCGAGCTGAAGGCAGACACTTAACGACTGAGCCACCCAGGCGCCCCAAATAAAATCCTTTAAAAAATAAGTGTACAATTAATCATTTAAGACAGACTCTTACATTGGAATAAAATAAGTGAACAATATGCTGTATAAAAAAATGTCATGAGGTTTTTTAAGACACAGTAAGGTTGAAACATAAAGGGCAGACAAGCCTTACCAGGCAAATATGAACCAAACAAGAGCTCTAATACCATCTCAGTATACAACTAAGTACACCTTAAAGCAGAAAAATAGCATAAAGGACAAAGAATGAAGTTGTGTACTGGTAAAAGGAACACTAGGGGCGCCCGGCTGGCTCAGTCGCTGGAGCATCTGACTCCTGATTTCCGCTCAGGTCATGATTCAGGGTTGTGGGATCGAGCCCCACGCCCGGCTCCGTGCAGCTCAGGGTCTGCTTAAGTCTCTCTTTCTGCCCCCCACGTACACACTCTCTCCCTAGAATAAGTAAATCTTTAAAAAAAAAAGTTAAAATAGGGCTTTTTACAGGAATGCAGGGATGGCTCAACGTGGGAAGGAGTGTTGGTGTAGTTGATGCAACGTATTTCGTTACAAAAGGGTGAAGGAGAAAATCATGATTGTCTTGATTACTGAAGACAAAGCATTTGAAACCTATGATCTAAAAAAGCTCTTGGGAAAACAAGAGTGGAAGAACACTTTCTAAAAGTCACAAAACTTCACGGAAAGCACACGGCGAGCGCAGCAGCTAATGGAGAAGAAGCCTTGGGTGCATGGCCCTGGCAGAGGGGGGAGGGATGCCTGCTGTCCTGCTGCCGGCGGGTGGAGCGTTAGCCCCTGGCCAAAATGAAACCACAGCTGGCATGGAGTCTCCCTACACCAGCAGTAACGGGCACTTTGCATCTCTTCGCCCGGAGCCCCTCCTGCCTGTGCTCGGCAGGCTGCGTCCTGACGTGGAAACAGAGCCGCGGGACAGACGGGAGCTGAATTTGGAGGACAGACCAGGGCAGATCAATGAGGAAAGGGCGCGTCCACGCGGAGATGGTGTTCAGAACTGGCTCACCCTGTGGGAAACCAGGACACCACCCACACGGCGGACTCTGGAGGACAGGAGACGTGAGCGTGAAGGAAAAACCCAAGGGAAGGAAACAAACGGAGGAGAACGTGGTGTAGGAGAGGCGGCCTGTCTCCAGACGCTCGCCGAAAGAACCGAGAAGCAACAAGATGATCGATCTGGCGAAAACAGAATTTAAGCTCTCTGTTCAGCAAGGCGGAAGCACCAGCAAGTGTTTAACCAGATGACAGAATGGAGAAGATGCTTACGATGAGCGAAACCAGCGAGGGATGCGCAGTCCCAAACACAAGTGACCGAAGGGTCCGCGCAGTCACATCGGAGGGCACCCGAGAAGCGAAGCAGGTGCCGGCGGAGATGCTCCCGGTGAGTGCACAGATGCCAGGTGAATTCGGAGACGGCTTAATGCCCATTCCCCTGCACACCAGCGGAAGCCAGACCGTGCTGAGGGAGGCTCTCGGGGACAGGAATGTTGCAGCTAGTCGGAGTGGGGGCTGGAAGGGGGCACAACCAGGCGTCCCCAGCCAGGTGCAGGGTCCCGCTGCTCTGCTCCTGGGCTCCTGGCCCTTCTGTGAGGTTTGAGAAGGCACGCAGAGCCTCGCAGGTTCCGATAGCCTAGGGAAGTCATTCTAGAGATGTAAGAACTCACGTTTTCAGTGTACAGGGTAGTTGGGTTTTTGTTTTGTTTTGTTTTTTTCGGAACTCCTGCTACGTTGTCAGGACAAAGAATGAAGTTGTGTACTGGTAAAAGGAACACTACGGGCGCCCGGCTGGCTCAGTCACTGGAGCATCTGACTCCTGATTTCCGCTCAGGACCCCTATTACGCTGTTGGGTCCCGATGAGCAGACCTGTTAGATATTTCTTCCGAGCAGCGGGTACTGGGAAGAGCCCCGGGGGAGGGCAACGCCAGACCCCAGGATATGACCTCGGGGGAGAACGCCTGCCGCTGCCAAGCTCCCCCAAGGGAGACAAGCCCCAGGCCCGTCCGGCCCCTGCTCCCGCTCACACCCTGGCATTGCAATCACAACCGCTTCTGGTCCTCGACGATGCAGGCGGCCGGAAAACTAAACCAGAGTTGTGCTTGCACACCACGTTCACCACCGCATTATCCACAACAGCCGACGGCTGGGAGAGGGACAGGGCCATGTGGTCTGTCCGTAAGTGGAATCTTCCTCACTCTTAGTTTAGGAGAAGTCCAGAGCCCTGCCACCGCAAGGCTGAACCACGGGGGCGCCGAGCACCGAGTGACCTCAGCCACTCACAGGACGACACACACCGTGTGACCCACTCATCGGACATCCCTAGAGGAGTCCGTCCACACAGACAAAGTGGGGTGGGGGCGCCAGGGGCTGGGGGGGGGCTGCGTGTGGATGGGGCCAGAGTAGCAGTTGGGGAAGATGAGAAGGTTGCGGAGATAACGCTAGACCCATACACTTAAAAATGGTTTAGACAGTAAATTTAATGTTAGCTTTTTACCACCAAAAATTAAAAACTGTCCCCAAAAGGGGAGGGAACAAATCTTGGGTGTTATAAATAATAATCTGAGTAAACCGGACGGAAAAACAAGAGAGCCATCAGCTCACGTGCCACACAACCAAGACAGCCACAGACCTGGGACCCCAAATCTACCAGAACCCACCCAGCCCCGCCTGCCCCCCCACCGCCTCCCCGGTGACCCCCAGCACGTCTCACCCCTCCTTGACCCCTCTCGGAGCGCTGTGCAGCCCCACAAATACAGACCCTGTTTCCTCTGACCACCCCCCGGGGTCACTCGGTGCCCGTCCTCTAGGCCTCTGACCACCACCCTAACCCCAATGACACGGCCATGGCTGCCCTGTTTATGGGGTTTAGTCTCCGCACCCCAGGGCACTGGGTGAATCCTGGTTGATGGATGACTGGGGAACGGCCAGCTCAGCCAAGAAGGGGCAGAGAGGGGAGGACGGTGGCCGGCTGCGCTCAGTAGCCAAGACCCTGTGAAGGACACAGGAGCGTGGGGACCCATGCAGGGCAGGACCGGCAGAGGGTGAGGGGATGGCTGTGCACCAGGCCACCAGCTGTGTCCCTCGGGAACACCTACAGGTGTCCACCTGGAGGCGTCCTGACTGCCCAGGTCCAGCCAAGGTCGACCAACGGTGTGAGGAGGCCCTGAACTGAAGGGACAGGAAGCGAGCCAGTGGGTGGTGAGGTCAGGGCCAGAAGCACCCTGGAGCTGGCACGGGAAAGGTGGCCGTGGGTGTGGCCAGTGAAGTGGACGCACCTGTGTGCAGGGCTCGCCCGTGGGTCCTGCTGGCACCGTACTCAATAAAACACCCGCAGAGGCCAGCATGGGTACGGCGGACGCAGGCCCACGAAGCCCACGGGCCGTGCCACCGAGACCCCTCCCCGGCCTGTGTGGCTCCCGCTCTAAGGGTCTCCTTGTGGGTCACCATCTGCGACCTGTCTGTCCTGCCTCCCACGTTCCGGGAGGCCTGGTCACCGTGCCGCCCGCGGTCCACTCCTACCAGGCCAGCTGCTGTGCGGGCGGCAGTCTGCAGGTCACGGAGCGTTTCCCAGCGCTGGCTCAAGACCCCGCCCCCCGCCTGCGCCGGCCCTGCGCCCACCCAGCAGGTCTGGGTCACATGATCCCGATCCCTCTTCTCTGGGGTGCCTGCCTCTGTCTCTGCACAAGTCTTCACAGGTCACTCTGGCTCGTCTGTCCTTGTCTCTGCGGGGTCTTCTGAGAAGCAGGTCTCCGGTGTCCCTGTGGCTAATGGAGCATGGTGTCCTTGCCTCCCGCGGCCGTGCTGTCCTTCACATCTCCCTGGGGAGCCGGGGGCTCCCACTGTGCTGACCTCACAGAAGCCTGCCTGCCCAGAGCAGCCCGCTGCCCCTCGCTGACCCCACTGTCCCCCCAACCCCACTGCCTCTCACTGAACCCCTCCTGACCCCCACTGCCCCCACCGCCCCTCACTAACCCTGCTGTCCCCTGCTGCCCCCCTCCTGACTCCTGCTGCCCCTCACTGCCCCCGCTGCCCCTTGCTGACCCTGCCGTCCCCACTGCCCCCCACTGCCCATCACTGACCCCACTGTCCCCACTGCCCCCCGATGCACCCCTACTGTCCCTCGCTGCCCCCAGTGTCCCCCGCTGGCCAGGCCAGGCCGCAGCCTGCACCTGCGTCTGTTCCAGGGGCTGTCTCAGGCCGGTGGACCTGTCGCGTCAGCGTAGGGGAGGCGGGGGAATGTCAGACGGCAGCCCGTGGGGGATGGACTCGCTGGTTCTGCCCCGCGCCTCCTGCCTGCCACTAAGCGTGTGCTGACTTCCTGCGGCCTTCGTAGGAGCCGCACAGGGCGCACCTGCTCCCCGGGCCACCATGAGTGCGCCTGGCCTCCCCCCGGCCTGGGCCTCTTGGGGCCCGTCCCGCCCCGCGTATCCCAGAGTCCACACCAAAGTCGCAGACACCGTAGGGTTTTGAGTGGTGTGTATTGGATCCACACATCAGCTTGACAAGGGCCAGTCCCGTGATCCTGAGCCTGCATGTGGCTGCTAAACCTCAAGTTCCCAAGGGCCAGTGGGTGTCCTGGCTCAACGGCGGTCCCCAGAAGGCAGGGGGCTCTGGGTGGACTTGTTTTCCAGATGAGGAGGGTCCCATCAGTGGTTGGGACGGCTGAGGGCATGGCAGGCAGAGAGGGGCGGCTGCAGGGAGTCCAGAAGGGACTTCACACATTCGGAGGGCTGCAGGTGGAGGGTCGAGGCCCCGTGGGCCCTGGACCACAGCTGGAGCCCTGAGGAGGAGCTGGGGGGGTGCTGTGGTTTGGAGGGAGAGACCCCAGCCCAGAGACTGTCCGGGGGCCAGGCCTGTGAGGAGAGGGTCAGGGATGCCCTCCTGACCAGTCTGCCTGGTCTGACCAGTGCAGACGGAGCACTGGGGTGTCCCCACAAGGGACGGGGAGGGGCTGGGGTGGCCGAGACCAGCCCGGTGCTCCTGGGTGTGAGTGGTCGCTCCAGCACCCCTGGCCAGCCAGGAAAAGCCAACGAGAGAACGTTCTGCTGCGTGTCCTCGGGCCTGACCTGGCCGGCAGGAGGCAGCCGATAGGCCCCTGCACCTGCCCAGCAGCAAACTGGGGTTCAACTGCCCTGGGCTAAGGGGAGCCTGGCAAGGGAGGCAGGATGAGGCTGTCTGTGCCTGCTGGGTGAGGGGTGCCGAGAGGCTGGGCCCCCTGGGGTGGGGGGGGCCTGTTCCGGCAAGCTGGGGGCCACATCCCCTGGACACAGATGGCTCTTTGTCAGGGCCGAGCCCAGCTCCCCGAACAGTCTCATGCACAAAGCCCCCTCTGTCCACAGTGGCCTCCCCCTCACCCCCAGCACCGCCCCCAGGAAAGGAACAGCGTCCCCCACCCCCAGGCTCCCAGCCAGCATCCCTGCCCAACACACACACACACACACCAGGCACAGGCCCAAGGTGGGGCGTGCAAGGGGCCAGGACACAGTGTGTACGGGCGTCCCAGGCTATCCCTTCCCCCAGGACCCTGAGGCCCCCCCATGCTGTAGGCCATGCCTGACCCCCCAGCATGGGGGCAGCCCTGGCCCAGCCCAGCTTTGGCCACCACTACCCAGGGTCCCGTTCCCCTGGGCCTGAGCACAGACCTGACCCTCCCCAGGCAGGAACCTGGAAGGTGGCCGGGGGCCACGGCAGAGCCTGACCTCTGCAGGGAGGCCTCCACAACTTATTTCTGCATACTCTCTTGATCCAGAATGCCCACAGACACCACATGGGCCTGTCGTGCCTGCCCCAGTGTGGCCAGCCAAGGCCCGGGCTGTGCCCAAAGGGGGGACAGCCAGGGCTCAGGGGGAGCACGCCACGGGATTGTGTCTGCATCATCCTGGGGCCACCCTGAAACCTGCCCCTCCGAAACCCAGCCAGGGCGTCAGGGCAGGTCCCCCTTGAGGAGGGCACACCCACAGGCCCTCAGTGACCAGGCGGCAGGATCCAGAGGAGGCCGGGTCGGGCTCCCGCCAGCCTGGTCAGCTCCTGCCGACACCGGGTCTGCAGCCGGCCCAGCACAGCCTCCAGGCAGGTTTCCCGGCTCCTCAGCGCCCCAATCAGCTCAGCAGCCCGCAGGCCTGGGCCCCCCGAGGCTCTGGCGTCTCTCTTCACCAGCCGGCAGGGCCCATGGGGCTGGGCCAGGGCCTCCCCTTGCTCGCAGGCCCGCTGAAGAGCGGCCAGCTCCTGTCCCACGGCCTCCCGTGAGGCCCGCTGCACAGCAGTCTGCTCCGGCCCCCAGCCTCCAGCCTGCACGGGGGAGAAGGCAGCTCTGGAGCCTGCCCAGGACACCGGCTTCGCGCCCCCTTGGCCCCAGCACCAGCCCCCAGCAGCGCCCTGAGAAGGGCTGACAGCCCAGATCCCGCTCCTCCCCGGGAAGGGGGCCGGCCCCAGTGCCAGCTCTCCGGCGCCGCCCTTCCAGCCTTCACATCACCCACACCGGAGCCCTGAGCCAGCGGAGGGGCCCCGGGGACAGGGCCAGCAGCCTGACCCCCTGAGGGCCCTGCAGCACCACGCAGCTGCAGGCCCCACCCGCTCACCCAGGTCACCAAGTCCCCCGGGGCCGTTCAGAGCCGAGCAGACCCTCGAGCCACCCCCCAACACTACCCACTGTCCTCTGCTGAATCGGCCTCCCGCCTTCTCAGTGCTCCCAGGACGGGGGAAGCACGCAGAGGGGCTGACCCAAGGGGACACTGCCCGCAGAGGCCGCTTCTGACCCTCCAGGCGGGCCCGTCCCAGCTGGCCTGGTGGGGCGGGGGAGTGAGAAGAGGCTGTGCCCCCAGGTGGTGGCCTGACCCTGGCCCTCGGTGGGCGCTGCCCCAAGGCCCTGTGCCGTGGCGGACGGCCCGTGAGAAGCGCCTACAAGCATCATGCACGCCCCAGCGGTCACCACAGCAGAGGGGAAGGGGCTGCTAGCAACAGAGTCCTGGAGACTTCAGGGTTAAACTGCCCGCAAGTTCCTCAAGATGCTTCAGAAAACTGAAGGGACTGTGGCCGGAGCAGGGCAGCGTGGGCGGGGCTCACGTGGGGACACTGGGGACTCCTCATCACGCACCCTCCCGGGCCGCTGCAGTCGCCCTCCCAGCCTTGGACTCAAGGTGAGTTCCACAAGGGGCTGCGTAGACGCACCCTATGTCAGCGCCCCAAGCCCTCACCCTGGCCTCCCAGGCCGCCCGCCGGGGCTCCGCTGCTCCCCGCAGCTCCTCGTGCAGGGCTTGCAACTCCTGGGCCACCAGCTCCAACTCTCCAGCACCCCCCGTGGGGATCCTGGGCAGAAACGTGGGCTGTGAGGCCTCCAGGGGGCAGGCGCCCAGGACCGTGTCCTGCAGAGAGAGACCCAAGTAAGAGGCAGGCAGCGAGCCCGGGCCCCGTAAACACAGGCCCAGGCCCAGCGGCACAGCCAGCGGGGACAGATGGCACAGAGGCCCGGGGGCAGTGCCCACCCCCCGTGCGGACAGCCACCCGTCACGCCGGCAGGCGGCACAAAGGCCAGACTTCTGGAAGGCTGGACCCCTCAGGGCAGGTGAGGGGACAGACAGACATCTGGGAAGGGCCCTTGGCTCCGAGCCAGCAGGCCTGGGTCCTAACGCCAGCCGCACGGTTGGGTGTGCATGTGGCCTCCCCGTCTCCTGTCCTGTCTGGGAAGGAGGCAGACACCCCCGCCCCCCAGGAAGGCTGTGGTCAAGGCTGGGAGCAGGGAGAGAGCCGGTCACACCATCCACTTCCAGAAGACCAGCTCCTGCCTCCGCCACACCAGGGCGGCCTCCAGGCGCGCGTTCTCACTCTCCAGCCTCTGAAGCAGCTGCAAAGCAAACCATAAGCCGTGGCCAGGTCAGAAGCCCACTTGGGACCCCCAGGCCCAGCAACGCAACCAGCATGCCTACCAGTCCCTCCGGCCCGCCAGCTGGTCACGTCAGCCACCCACCTGAAGAGCCATCTCCCCACAGGCAGGACAGGGCAGCCCCACCTCCAGGCACCACCAGGCCGACCACACCCGCGACCCCCACACCGGCCCCAAACGTGCGTTCCCACAGGGCCAGGAGCTGACATGGAGCACCCTCGACTCAGGACCTCTGCCCCACAGGGACCCTGACTAACCGGGGGCTGCACCCAAGACGCGGGCAGAGGAGAAAGCCCCAGGATGGGGAGCCCCTCCTGTGGGACCTGAGAACCCCAAAGGGCCTGCACAGCCCCACACCTGCAGACCCCACACAGACATGGGGGCCCACAGACAGCCACGTGCTCCGGTTCCGGCTGTGGTAGCACCTGCCAGCCTCGGCCTCCAGAAGCACGTGCCCAGCCTCGGCCTCCAGACGCGCGTGCCCAGCCTCGGCCTCCAGAAGCGCCTGCCAGCCTCGGCCTCCAGAAGCTGGGGTGGGGGGGAGGGGGGAGGCAGGAGTCCCACCACCAGAGGGCCCCTGATCGCTGCGGAGGTGCAGCGCAGGCCGCCCCCATCTCCCCCGCCCCGCCCCTGCCACCCCTACCAGGAAGCCACAGGCCTGCCCTGCTCCTCTGTGAATGCAGCGGCCAGCACACTGGCCAGGCCACAGGCTCTGCTCTTTCTAGGAGAGAGGTGCTGGGCTTCCTGGGGCCAGGACAAAGGGCCAGCTAAGAGCTCTGCCAAGCCACCATGCCCGAGGGCCGGTACACATGCCCTACACAACAGGCACGCATGGCCCGGGGTCCCTGCTGCTCCACAGCAAACAGACGGCCAGCCAGGCAGCCGGGAGCCTACTCGCTGCAGCTGGAACAGGGGCTCCGGGGTCAGGATGGAGGCTCGCCTGCAGACAGAACCACCGTGGGCCTAGGGGAGCTCAGCCTGGGAATGGGACATGGGGAGGGTGCAGGTCACACGCATACATGCACACAGTTCACGTGACTTCCGACAACAGTCCCCAGGTGCTCCCAGCTCCCCAGCTTCAGGCGAGACACAACAGGAAGAGGCAACAAGTCCCCTGTACCCCCCCACTTTCGGGCCCAGTGCTGGAGCCTCCTGAGGCAGCCAGCCCCCGGTCCACCCCACTGCCCTGTGGCCAGGCACAGGGAGGTGAGAAGGCTGCAGGCCCAGCCGGGAAGCAAGCACGCGCACTGCCCAGCTACTCCGCAGCACGCGTGGCCACGCACAGCAACCACAGATCACTCCGGAAGCTTCTGGGACCCATCCCAAGAGCGCAGGCCCTTTGGGGACACTGGCCTAGGCTTCTGCCAGTCCCCCCCCAGAAACCTTGGAAGGAAGCCAATCGTGACCCCCATCCACCTCGGGCCGTCGAGTCCCATGGCACCAACACAGCCCAGCCTCAGACAGGAGGGGGAGCCACACGGGCCCCCACGCCACAGAGCCCGGGGACCCAGGCAACACCTGGCTGGAACTGGTGCAGTTTCTGCTCTGCTCCAACCCGGGGGGGTGGGGGGGCAGGAAGCCTGGGCCTCGCTGAGTCACCCGTAGAAGGGGACCTAGCCAAGGGCACCTGGGGTCGCCGAGATCCTGCCTTAACACCGCCAGGGACAAGTGCAGCCCTGCCTGAGCAGGGCCAGCCAGGTATTGGCCAGGGAAGCAGGCCTGGCAGGCACCCCCAGGTGGCTACCCCAACCCCACAAAAGGGAGCACATGACCCCAGAGCTGGGATCTGCAGGACCTGGAAAGAGGGGCCACACCAACCCTGAGCCTCAGCCCTCCTGCCTGGCCAAGTGCCCCCCAGGCTGGACAGAGCCCAGCCCTCAAGTGACAGCCAACCCTGGGCCTGTCCCAGGACACCCTGGCCATGCCAACCCAAGGGAAGGAAACAATCATGACAGATTAGGGTCTCCTGAAAAGAAAGTCAGCAAAGTGTGGGGCACGCTAGGCCAGCCCTCTTCTTACCACCTCAATCACCAGATGACCCCTGCGTGGGCTCCAGGCACCAACACCATGAGCTTAAACCCTCAAGCAGTCTTCCTTAGTTCCAGAGGCTCCCCCCTCACCCAGCTGCCAGCCCAGCCTAGATACCTGTGCCCCTGGGGCCCTAACCATGCCCAGCCACGTGCACACACAGCAGCTGGTCTGGATTCCTGCACCACTGGATGGTCTAGGGAGCTGGGGGAGGCCCTGAGGACATGCCTGTCCCCCACACCAGCAAGATGATAAGTTGGGCAATCATCCAGAGCTCAAAGCTGGTTGGCTGGGTCCTCCTTCTCAGGCCCCTCCCCACCTCAACCCCCACCACCTCACGTCTCTGCAGTCCTACGCACCAACACACACCAGCCTCAGACAGGAGGGGGCCCCACACCAGCCCTCACCTGCCGGCCGCCCTCTGGGTCCCTGAACAGCTCCGTCTCAGCAACAGACAGGTGGCCAAGGCTGCGGTCACTGTGGCAGCCTTGGGTATAGGAGTGGATCTGAAACAGGCAGTGCAAACCCCAGGATGAGCAGGAAGGGGCACCTCTCCCAGCGCTGAGTGAGGTTTTTGGAGCCTGCCTTGTAGGCAAGGAAACGGGCCACACCTCACCAGGGTGTTCCAGGGCAGGCCAGGGTCAGGCTCAGGAGAGTAGTGAGTACTTCTGGGGCCCTCCAGCAGGCAGTCCCACCTACAACCTCCCCATCCCACGCAGTTCCTGGGGGTACGGTGGGATGGAAGGGGGCACCTGTGCTTCTCCCTAAGCTCACTGACTGCCAGGTCCACGTGGCGGGAGAAACAGCCTCTGGACGGGCTACGTGGTCCACTGGAGCCAATGGCGGGGACAGAGAGTGACTGGCTCTGGGGGGCAGGGAAGGCTTCCCGGGAAAATAAGACCTGAAGGCATCACGGAGGTTAACGAGTAGCCGTGTCCCAAGCAGGAGGAGCAAGTAGAGCCCAGGCCAAGCAAGAGAGACAGTTTCCAAGAAGGGCTGAGGGTGCAAAAGGCCTTCTGCGGGGGTGCAATGGTGCACAGGTGCAGAGGTGCAGGGGTGCAGGGTGCAGAGGTGCAGGAGTGCAGGGGTGCAGGGTGCAGAGGTGCAGGAGTGCAGGGGTGCAGGGTGCAGAGGTGCAGGGGTGCAGGGTGCAGAGGTCCAGATTGCAGAAGCGCAGAGGTCGGAGTGCAGAGTGCAGAGGTGCAGGGGTGCAGAGTGCAGAGGTGCAGAGGTGCAGGGTGCAGAGGTGCAGGAGTGCAGGGGTGCAGGGTGCAGAGGTGCAGGGTGCAGAGGTGCAGGGGTGCAGGGTGCAGAGGTCCAGATTGCAGAAGCGCAGAGGTCGGAGTGCAGAGTGCAGAGGTGCAGGGGTGCAGGGTGCAGAGGTGCAGGAGTGCAGGGTGCAGAGGTGCAGATTGCAGAAGCGCAGAGGTCAGAGTGCAGAGTGCAGAGGTGCAGGGGTGCAGGGTGCAGAAGTGCAGGGGTGCAGAGGTGCAGGGGAGCAGGGGTGCAGGGGTTCAGGGTGCAGGTGTGCAGACGTGCAAGGCACACAGGTGCAGCGGTACAGGAGTGCAGGGGTGCAGGGTGCAGAGGTGCAGGGTGTAGGGTGCAGGGTGCACAGGTGCAGGGGTGCAGGGTGCACAGGTGCAGGGTGCACAGGTGCAGGGGTGCAGGGTTGAGGGGTGCAGATGTGCACAGGTGCAGAGTGCAGAGGTGCAGAGGTGCAGGGTGCAGAGCTGCAGGGGTGCAGGGTGCAGGGTTGAGGGGTGCAGGGGTGCAGATGTGCAGAGGTGCAAGGGTGCAGGGTGCAGAGGTGCAGGGTGCACAGGTGCACAGGTGCAGAGGTGCAGGGTGCAGAGGTCCAGGGGTACAGGGTGCACAGGTGCAGGGGTGCAGGGTGCACAGGTGCAGGGGTGCAGAGGTACACGTGTGCAGGGTTGAGGGGTGCAGAGGTGCAGATGTGCACAGGTGCAGAGTGCAGAGGTGCAGAGGTGCAGGGGTGCAGAGGTGCAGGGTTGAGGGGTGCAGGGGTGCAGATGTGCAGAGGTGCAAGGGTGCAGAGGTACAGGGGTGCAGGGATGAGGGGTGCAGGGGTGCAGATGTGCTCAGGTGCAGAGTGCAGAGGTGCACAGGTGCAGGGGTGCAGGGGTGCAGAGGTGCAGAGGTGCAGGGTGCACAGGTGCATAGGTGCAGGGGTGCAGGGTGCACAGGTGCAGGGTGCAGAGGTACAGGGGTGCAGGGTTGAGGGGTGCAGGGGCGGAGATGTGCACAGGTGCAAAGTGCAGAGGTGCAGAGGTGCGGGGTGCACAGGTGCAGGGTTGCAGATGTGCACAAGTGCAGAGTGCAGAGGTGCAGAGGTGCAGGGGTGCAGGGGTGCAGGGTACAGGGTTGAGGGGTGCAGGGGTGCAGATGTGCACAGGTGCAGAGTGCAGAGGTGCACAGGTGCAGGGTGCACAGGTGCACAGGTGCAGGGGTGCAGGGTGCAGAGGTACAGGTTGCAGAGGTGCAGGGTTACAGGGTGCACAGGTGCAGGGGTGCAGGGTGCAGAGGTGCAGGGGTGCAGAGGTACAGGGGTGCAGGGTTGAGGGGTGCAGAGGTGCAGAGGTACAGAGTGCAGAGGTGCAAAGGTGCAGGGGTGCAGGGTGCAGAGGTGCAGGGGTGCAGAGGTGCAGGGTACAGAAGTGTAGGGGTACAGAGGTACAGGGGTGCAGGGTTGAGGGGTGCAGGGGTGCAGATGTGCACAGGTGCAGAGTGCAGAGGTGCACAGTTGCAGGGGTGCAGAGGTGCACAGGTGCACGGGTGCAGGGTGCACAGGTGTACAGGTGCACGGGTGCAGAGGTGCAGGGGTTCAGGGTGCAGGTGTGCAGAGGTGTAGGTGTGCAGAGGTGCAGGGCACACAGGTGCAACGGTGCAGGAGTGCAGGGGTGCAGGGTGCATGGGTGCAGAGGTGCAGAGGTGCAGGGTGCAGAGGTACAGGGGTGCAGGGTTGCGGGGTGCAGATGTGCACAGGTGCAGGGTGCAGAGGTGCAGGGGTGCAGGGTGCACAGGTGCAGGGGTGCAGGGTGCAGAGGTACAGGGGTGCAGGTTTGAGGGGTGCAGGGGTGCAGATGTGCACAGGTGCAGAGTGCAGAGGTGCAGGGTGCAGAGGTGCATAGGTGCAGAGTGCAGAGGTGCTGGATGCAGAGGTACACGGGTGCAGGGGTGCAGAGGTGCAGGGGTGCAGGGTGCAGAGGTGCAGGGTGCACAGGTGCAGAGTGCAGAGGTGCAGAGGTGCAGGGTGCACAGGTGCAGGGGTGCAGAGGTACAGAGGTGCAGGGGTGCAGGGTGCAGAGGTGCAGGGTGCACAGATGAAGATTGCAGAGGTGCTGGGTGCAGAGGTGCATGGGTGCAGGGGTGCAGAGTGCAGAGGTGCAGGGGTGCAGGGGTGCAGGGTGCAGGGGTGCACAGGTGCAGAGTGCAGAGGTGCTGGGTGCAGAGGTGCACGGGTGCAGAGGTGCAGAGGTGCAAGGTGCACAAGTGCAGAGGTGCAGAGGTGCTGGGTGCAGAGGTGCAGAGGTGCAGGGTGCAGAGGTGCAGAGGTGCAGGGTGCACAGGTGCAATGTGCACAGGTGCACAGGTGCAGGGGTGCAGGGTGCAGAGGTGCAGGGTACAGAGGTGCAGGGGTGCAGGGTGCAGAGGTGCACAGGTGCAGGGTGCACAGGTGCAGGGTGGAGGGTGCAGACGTACATACGTGCGGGGTGCAGTGGTGCAGGGTGCAGAGGTGCTGGGTGTCAGAGGTGCACGGGTGCAGGGGTGCAGAGGTGCAGGGTGCAGAGGTGCTGGGTGCAGAGGTGCACGGGTGCAGGGGTGCAGGGGTGCAGAGGTGCAGGGTGCAGAGGTGCTGGGTGCAGAGGTGTACGGGTGCAGGGGTGCAGGGGTGTAGAGGTGCAGGGGTGCACAGGTGCAGAGGTGCAGGGGTGCAGGGTGCAGAGGTGCGGGGTGCAGTGGTGCACAGGTGCAGGGGTGCAGGGTGCAGAGGTGCAGAGGTGCAGGGTGCACAGGTGAAGATTGCAGAGGTGCTGGGTGCAGAGGTGCACGGGTGCAGGGGTGCAGGGGTGCAGAGTGCAGGGGTGCAGGGTGCAGAGGTGCAGGGTGCACAGGTGCACAGGTGCAGAGTCCAGAGGTGCTGGGTGCAGAGGTGCACGGGTGCAGGGGTGCAGAGGTGCTGGGGTGCAGGGTGCAGAGGTGCAGAGGTGCAGGGTGCACAGGTGCAGAGTGCAGAGGTGCTGGGTGCAGAGGTGCACAGGTGCAGGGGTGCAGGGTGCAGAGGTGCAGAGGTGCAGGTTGCACAGGTTCAGAGTGCAGAGGTGCTGGGTGCAGAGGTGCAGGGGTGCAGGAGTGCAGAGTGCAGAGGTGCACAGGTGTAGGGGTGCAGGGTGCAGAGGTGCAGGGGTGCAGGATGCACAGGTGGAGGGGTGCAGGGTGCAGAGGTGCAGGGTACAGAGGTGCAGGGGTGCAGAGGTACAGGGGTGCAGGGTTGAGTGGTGCAGGGTGCAGAGTGCACAGGTGCAGGGGTGCAGGGTGCAGAGGTACAGGGGTGCAGGGTACAGAGGTGCTGGGTTCAGAGGTGCAGGGGTGCAGGGGTGCAGGGGTGCACAGGTACAGAGTGCAGAGGTGCAGAGGTGCTGGGTGCAGAGGTGCACAGGTGCAGGGGTGCACAGGTGGAGAGTGCAGAGATGCAGAGGTGCTGGGTGCAGAGGTGCACAGGTGCAGGGGTGCACAGGTACAGAGTGCAGAGGTGCAGAGGTGCTGGGTGCAGAGGTGCACAGGTGCAGGGGTGCCCAGGTGCAGAGTGCAGAGATGCACAGGTGCAGGGGTGCAGAGGTGCACAGGTGCAGAGTGCAGAGGTGCTGGGTGCAGGGGTTCAGGGTGCAGAGGTGCAGAGGTGCAAGGTGCACAGGTGCCGAGTGCAGAGGTGCTGGGTGCAGAGGTGCACAGGTGCAGGGGTGCAGGGTGCAGAGGTGCAGGGGTGCAGGGTGCAGAGGTGCAGGGGTGCACAGGTGCAGAGGTACAGATATGCACATGTGCAGAGTGCAGAGGTACAGAGGTGCAGAGATGCAGGGTGCACAGGTGCAGGGTGCAGAGGTGCTGGGTTCAGAGATACAGGGGTGCAGGGGTGCAGAGTGTAGAGGTGCTGGGTGCAGAGGTGCACAGGTGCAGGGGTGCAGGGGTGCAGAGGTGCAGAGGTGCAGGAGTGCAGGGGTGCAGAGGTGCAGGGGTGCAGGGTGCACGGGTGCAGGGGTGCAGGGGTGCAGAGGTGCACAGGTTCAGAGTGCAGAGGTGCAGAGTGCAGAGGTGTAGGGTACACAGGTGCAGAGGTGCAGGGTGCACGGTGTAGGGTGCAGGGTGCAGAGGTGCAGGGGTGCAGAGGTACAGGGGTGCAGGGTGCAGAGGTGCAGGGGTGCAGATGTGCACAGGTGCAGAGTGCAGAGGTGCAGAGGTGCAGTGGTGCAGAGGTGCAGAGTGCACAGGTGCAGGGGTGCAGGGTGCAGAGGTGCAGGGTGCAGGGTTCAGGGGTGCACAGGTGAAGGGGTGCAGGGTGCAGAGGTACAGGGGTGCAGAGATGCAGGGTGCACAGGTGCAGGGTGCAGAGGTGCTGGGTTCAGAGATACAGGGGTGCAGGGGTGCAGAGTGTAGAGGTGCTGGGTGCAGAGGTGCACAGGTGCAGGGGTGCAGGGGTGCAGAGGTGCAGAGGTGCAGGAGTGCAGGGGTGCAGAGGTGCAGGGGTGCAGGGTGCACGGGTGCAGGGGTGCAGGGGTGCAGAGGTGCACAGGTTCAGAGTGCAGAGGTGCAGAGTGCAGAGGTGTAGGGTACACAGGTGCAGAGGTGCAGGGTGCACGGTGTAGGGTGCAGGGTGCAGAGGTGCAGGGGTGCAGAGGTACAGGGGTGCAGGGTTGAGGGGTGCAGAGGTGCAGATGTGCACAGGTGCAGAGTGCAGAGGTGCAGAGGTGCAGTGGTGCAGAGGTGCAGAGTGCACAGGTGCAGGGGTGCAGGGTGCAGAGGTGCAGGGTGCAGGGTTCAGGGGTGCACAGGTGAAGGGGTGCAGGGTGCAGAGGTACAGGGGTGCAGGGTGCAGAGGTGCAGGGTTCAGGGGTGCACAGGTGCAGGGTGCAGGGGTGCATAGGTGCAGAGTGCAGAGGTGCAGGGGTGCAGGGTGCAGAGGTACATACGTGCGGGGTGCAGAGGTGCAGGGTACACAGGTGCAGAGGTGCAGGGTGCACGGTGTAGGGTGCAGGGTGCAGAGGTGCAGGGGTGCAGAGGTACAGGGGTGCAGGGTGCAGAGGTGCAGGGGTGCAGATGTGCACAGGTGCAGAGTGCAGAGGTGCAGAGGTGCAGTGGTGCAGAGGTGCAGAGTGCACAGGTGCAGGGGTGCAGGGTGCAGAGGTGCAGGGTGCAGGGTTCAGGGGTGCACAGGTGAAGGGGTGCAGGGTGCAGAGGTACAGGGGTGCAGAGATGCAGGGTGCACAGGTGCAGGGTGCAGAGGTGCTGGGTTCAGAGATACAGGGGTGCAGGGGTGCAGAGTGTAGAGGTGCTGGGTGCAGAGGTGCACAGGTGCAGGGGTGCAGGGGTGCAGAGGTGCAGAGGTGCAGGAGTGCAGGGGTGCAGAGGTGCAGGGGTGCAGGGTGCACGGGTGCAGGGGTGCAGGGGTGCAGAGGTGCACAGGTTCAGAGTGCAGAGGTGCAGAGTGCAGAGGTGTAGGGTACACAGGTGCAGAGGTGCAGGGTGCACGGTGTAGGGTGCAGGGTGCAGAGGTGCAGGGGTGCAGAGGTACAGGGGTGCAGGGTTGAGGGGTGCAGAGGTGCAGATGTGCACAGGTGCAGAGTGCAGAGGTGCAGAGGTGCAGTGGTGCAGAGGTGCAGAGTGCACAGGTGCAGGGGTGCAGGGTGCAGAGGTGCAGGGTGCAGGGTTCAGGGGTGCACAGGTGAAGGGGTGCAGGGTGCAGAGGTACAGGGGTGCAGGGTGCAGAGGTGCAGGGTTCAGGGGTGCACAGGTGCAGGGTGCAGGGGTGCATAGGTGCAGAGTGCAGAGGTGCAGGGGTGCAGGGTGCAGAGGTACATACGTGCGGGGTGCAGAGGTGCAGGGTGCACAGGTGCACGGGTGCAGGGGTGCAGGGGTGCAGCGTGGGGGGGCCCAGCACTGAGGAGCCCTATGCTGGTGGGGGTCCCAGCCTCCCTGTCCAGCACCTCTCAGCCTAGACTTCACACTAGACCTGTAAGAGAGACCTGTGCCCCCACAGCTGAGCTTCCCAGCCCTCAGGAACCCTACAGAAGCTGCCCACTGCCCATCAGCCTACACCCAGGATGTGGCAGAAGGAAGGGGCACCTTCCTCCGGGAAACAGGCCCCGGCAACAGCGGCTCCCCCAGGGCCCAGAGCCCATTTCTGCTCAGAGACAGAGCCTGAGGCCTCTGATGACTTCCGGGTCCATCCAGGCCTCAGGCAGAGGGAGGAGGAGCCGACAGCCTGTAGCACGGAGAGTAAGTGCTCGTGGGTGGGCAATCCTCAGGTGACAATACCTTTCCCAGGAGGGCACACTGCTCCTGCTGACTGGTGATCAGGTTTCGCCACTGGAACCGCAGCTTTCCCATCAGCCACTGCAAGTGGCGTATGTCCACAGGGCCATCTGCTTCCCGGCGGGGCGGGAGTGGGCCAGCACTGGCCAGGGCTTCACACTGGAGAGGGCACAAGGGTCACACCCTGTTCCCATATCCTCTGCGGAGACCCCAAGGGAGACAGAGAAAAGAGGCTCCTGGAGGGAGAGCCGAGGGCCCCCAGGGGTGCCAAGAGGAGACTTGGGGGCCACACCCTGTGAGCACACACCCTCACCCTGCCCGAAAGGAGGGGCAGGAAGAAGGCGGGAGCAGGGGGATGGCAATGCCGACCCCCACAGGGCTGCCCTGAGGGCTGGCCCAGGCTGAACCCAGGCTCCCCACCAGGGCTAGTCCCACGCCCCCTCACAGCATACGCACCTCGCACAGGGGTATCTCGTCGCCCAGCCGCACGCGCGTCTGGGCCAGCAGCTGCTCGAGCAGGGGCCCGCGGGCCAGGAGCCAGGCCAGGGCCAGCAGAAGCTCGCGGCTGCCCTGGGAGCCGTCCTCGGGGAGCTGCGCCAGCGCCCTCCTGGGGTAGCCCTGGGAGCGCAGCGCCGACTTCACCAGGTGGACTTGGGCCTCTGGGGATGGGGAGACCGCCTGCTCAGGGGGCCGCCCACTGGGAGAGACCCCGCATGACTCCCAAGCAGAAGCCAGGTTTGGAGGGAACAATCGGGACTCAGGATGAGGGGGCCAGGGCTAATGGGAGCGGGGCTTATGCGGTGGGCGGGGCTTTGCCCGAGGAGGTGAGTGGGCGGGGCCAAGGTCCGCAGGGGCGGGTTCTTACCAGGGAGGCGGGGCTAACCGGGCTGGAGCTTTACAGGAGGCGGACCCAGCCACAGGGTCTGTGAGTGGACAGAGCCGGAGCCCGCAGGGGCGTGACTTAATGTTGGGGCGCGGCTAATGGGGGCGGGTGGGCTAACCGGGGGCGGGGCTTGCGTGAGCAGGTGGACCTCACGGTGAGCGGGCGGGCCTTACGGGGAAGGCGGGGCTTACCCAGGGCCGGGGAGGCCGGGGAGGCCGGGGAGTCCGAGGCGCCGTCTCGGGGCAGCGGCGAGAGCACGCGGAAGAGCAGCTGCCAGAGCGCCGGGGCCTGGAGGGATCAAAGAGCGGCATTCAGCGGGGCCAGCCGCCTCCCTGCGTCCGCCCGGGCCCCCGCCGGACCCCGCCGCCTGCCCCGCGGGCCTCACCGCCTCCGGACGGTCGAACTTGGCGCGGCGGAAGATCTCGGGGCTGGGCCCGGCGGGCAGCGTCTGACTCAGCGCGGCGATGGCCTCGGGCAGGGCCCCGACCGCGTCTCCCCGGGGCCCCCGGGGCCGCCGCCGCCCCATGCGGCCGGCTTCCCTCGGATCGCGCGCCGCGGCCGCCGGGGACTCCCGGCGTCCAATCACCGCGCAGGTGCCGTCCCTACTGGGCCGTCGCCCAGTCACCGAGCGGGCGGGGGCACGCCTCCAGCGCCGGCCCAATGAGCGGCGCCCAGGCCTTTGAGTGCAGTCTGTTCTGTCCACTGCGGAGGCATTTCCTGTGCGGCAGGGGCCAATTGGCGTCGACAGCTCCGCGGGGTCCGCCCTTGCGGCCCAATCGCGTCAAAACCCGACACCCGCCTAGCTCAGACCCCACCAATCAGCGCCTCAGCCAACCTTGCGCCAAAAGGCAGCCTAGGAACCGCCGGCGTGCCCGCGGCCCCGCCCCGGGCGCCCCCTGCGGCCGGGAGCGCAGCGCAGCCGGGCGCCACCGACCCGCGCGGGAGCCCCTCGGCCTCCGCGAAGCCCGGCCCGGCCGGCGCGCCAGGGGCTCCCGCGGGGTGCGGGCGGCCCCCTCCGCACCCCAGGCCCACACCCGGACTCCGGCGCGGGCCCCCCGGCCTGGCTGAGCTGCACGCTGAGCCGCTCCTTCCGCAGCCGCCTCGGCGCGGCCACTGGCAGAGCAGTCTGGCGGCGGCGGTCTCAGAGCCCGGCAGTGCGCACGGACGCCCCGGCGCGTGAAGGAAGCCGGGCGCGCAGCGCGGCCGCGTGTCTACGGTGCGCGCGCGAGACGGCCCGCACGGACGGCGCTCGGGCACCAGGGACGGGCCGCAGAGCCCTGCGCATTGGTTAAAGCCGGCGAACCGCACGGGAGAATTTTGAATGTGTGGCGTGTAAATTACACCGCCCCGAAGCGGTGGAAGGGACCGAGCCGCCAGCCCTCCCCGCCAGCCCTGCCCACGCACCCCTCCACCCGCCGGCCGCGGCCACGCCTGCAGGAAGTGCGTCCGGGCGGGTCCCGGCGGCCCCCCCACCCCCGGTCCTCACCTTCGCCCGCTTCCCTCTCGGGCACTGCCGACTACCACCGCCACCTCCCAGGAGGCCCCGCCCCCGGCCCCCTTCAGCTCGGCCCGGTCTGGTCTCCGCAGGCCACTCTGCGGACGCCAGGTGGAGCGCCCTGCGGCCTTCAGAGTAAAGACCACATTCTTGACCCACCCGCCCAGCCCACCGGCCCTTCTCTCTGGGCCTTCCATCAGAAGCGCTTTTCTCCACCTGCGTCCTGACCCCCTCCGCCCGCAGGCGTCAGATCTCAGCACTCGTCCTGCATCTGCCCCACCTAGCTGCGAGCTACGCCAGAGCCCAGCCCCAGAACCGGTAGGAGGCGGGAGCCTCTACGACCTTGTTCAGCGCTGCTCCTCCCTGTGTACCCCGACTCCTCACTCTGGCACAACACCCCGCTGAATCTCCAAGCCCCCAGCCCCCACCCTCCCACTGTCCACTGAGAAACCCTGCCTCACCTTAGCACCATCTGTTCCTTCCCACCCGGTCCCTGCAGATGAACTCTGGCTCCCACCTCTTGGGGTTCTGTAAGTCAGCCAGTAACCTAGCCCCACCCTACAGGTGGCCCTTGAGACCCCTCAACAGACTGTCCAGCTCAGGCCTGCAGCAGGGCCGAGACCTGGGAGGGGTGGCCCTCTGCCAGGGCTGGAGTCTGAGTGGCCAGGGGAGGGAATGGGGAGGCCCTCACTGAGTGAGGCCCAGTCTGCAGGTGCTGCCAGAATTGACATGGAGGTTTCCAGAAAGCCCCCAACTATGCATGGCCCAGCCAGTCCTCCAATTCTCCATTTAGTGGCTGGCCACTCAGTACTGGGGTGGGGAGGAAGGTGGGGTGTCCAAGTGCATGCTCCAGTAGGAACGTGGCTGGCCTGGTCCATCAAGGCCGGTGGGTAATGGGGACAAGGGTGGGGCAGGAAGTGGAGAGAGCAGGCAAGGACTCCCCACCACAACTCCCCCAGAGCTCAAAAACGGAACCAGGGTGAGCACAGCTAATTCACCCCGTGGCCACCACCCACTGACTCTTAGGCCTCATGTTCCCGCTGACCTGTTGACCCTCCCTTGGGCCCATCCCAGAACCTCTGGAGAGCTGGGGCATTGGCGGGGCTGGGCACTGGAGAGCTGAGCCACATGGGGCCTTCCAGGGTGGCCAGCTGCCTGCCTTGTACAGGAAGCTTCAGCCTGAGGTGGCCCCCAGCACAGCACCCGGCCAGGGCGATGGGCAGCAAGGCCGGCTGCAGCAGGAAGAGCCAGTGGCCCTGGCAGGGCTTGGAGACAGAGCGGCCAGCTGCAGCTCCCCGCCACCATCCCCCTGTCAAGACACACACCCCTGCCCCCCACCTCCGCACACGCGGGCAGGGATTCTGAGTGTTCAGCTTTATTGAGGGCATGGGAGTCGACAGGGGTCGCCGGGTGCCTGGGGATAAGGCCTGCAATCAGCCTGGAAAGGCAGTGGCCCGGTGGGCAGCCAGGGACAGCGTTTCCATGACCTGCGCAGAGAGAGACAGAGACAGAGGTGAGTGCGGGCCCAGTGAGCAGTCAGACTGCACTCAGGCGTGGGGGGACCATCCCAAAGGCCTGATGGGCTGGGCTGGGGGAAATGTACCTGGGTTTATTTGAAAGTGTGACTCTCAGCTCCACCCCGCCCAAAACCTGCAGACAAAACGAGTAGGCAGGTTAGGGGTGGCCAGGGGCTGGGTGGGGGGCCAGGGCAGGGGCCGGGGAAGCATACCTTTAGGCCCGAACATGGAGGCATAGCAGGGGTGGTTGCAGTAAGGCTTGCCTTCATGCTGCAGAGAGAAGGGCCATGAGGGGCTGTCCGCCCTAACCCTGCGCCCCTGCTGCCCTCCAGGTCCCACCTACCTCAGCGTGGCCCCCTGACGTGAGCGTCTTTCCACATTTCTCACACTTCAGGCAAGGCCGATGCCAGTCCTTCCCCAGAGAGGTCACCCGCTCAGCTGCAGAGGCACAGACAGCAACCCCCGCCCCCCAGTATGAGACCCTGCTCTGGGGTCCCAGGGCACACCCACCTACTCACACACCAGCCTTCTCCAGTTGCCTCTGCCCTTGGTCTCACCCACGCCCGCCTGGTGGCCCACCCCGGGTCTCAGCCTTGTGCCCCGTCAGTAGGGAGGGGCACCTCCAGTCCCCTAGGCCAATCCCTCCAAACAAACGGGAGGGGGAGCTGGGTGGTACTGCAGGAGAAGGCCTCGAGGGCCAGGGGTGGGGGCCTGGGTGACCCGCCGCGGTGTAGGGGGTGGGGAGTGCAGGGCGCCCTTCTCAGGGGCGAAGGTGGGAGAGACACTTCCCACTTCCTCCCGCCTCTCCCCTGGGTGGGCCCCGGGGCGCGGGACAGGGAGGCTGCACCCGGTTCTCAGCGCTCCCGGGATCGCGCCCCGGGCGCCGGTTTCCGCGTCTGTTTCTACTTAGCGGTGGGAGGGGCGGCTAGAACGCAGCGTTTCTCCCTCTGCCGCGCGGTCCCCGCCCAGGGCACGCCGAGGGGGGACGGGAGAGCTGGGGAGTCCCAGCGACCGGGAGACCCAGAGAAGGGGGCACCCAGACAAGGCGAGACCCAGCGGGACCGAGAGGAAGAGACAGCGGGGCGGAGACACCGAATCAGCAGAGACAGAGGGCCATCCGACGCCGGGGGCCTGACCCGCACACCCAGGCGGTGGCCGGCAGGGCTGAGGTGTCGGCTCCCGGCACGCAGCCCCAGGGTCCCCCGGCGCGCCCGGCCCTCCGGAGAGGCCCGGCCGGGTCGTCCCTGGGCCGCGCTTCCTAGTGGGGGCGGGCGGGGCGGCGCGCTCCCGGCCGTGGGGGTGAGCTGGGGTAGGCGGGGAGCGCTCACCAAAGTACACCTCCTTGTCGCACTTGGGGCACTTAGGCATGGCGGCTGGAGGTCCGGCGGGAACGTCTGCGCAGGAACAGACAGGAGAGCTGGACTGGGTGGGTCCGGCGGGGTGCGCGCCTTTCAGGGACCCCAAGACCCCGCCCCTTTGAGACCCGCCCTTCGAGACCCGCCCCCTGAGCCCGAGATCTGGACCCAAGGACCTGGGCTCCAGGCCAATCAGCTAAGAAAGGTCCTCTGGTCCACCCCCACCTTCGGGCTGCACCCGGGCCTAGCCGACTACGGAGCGGGGGTGGGGTGGGATCGGGGGGCGTGTCCAGGGAGCGCGCGGGATCCGTGGGGATGCACTGAAGGGGCGGGGCTCCTCCGGGGGCTGCAGCCCCGCCACTCGCCTAAGGTCCAGGATCTAGGGAAGGGGCTCCCCAGCCCTAGCCCCAGCCCGCCGGCACGTGCCCGAGCCCCCAGTTATTTGGGAGCCAGGGAGGGGGCGAGTCACCGCTGAAATGCAAATAGATGCAAACCAGCGTTGGCGAACTTCTCCCCACACACTTTGACCCGACCCCGTCCCAGACAGAGAGTTGGGGACAAATTACCAGGGACGTCTCAGCCTGGTAGCCCCCCAAAACTCCCCGCCGGCCTTAAGCACACGCGGAGCCAGGAGGCCCGCCGCTCCCCAGTTCCCCATCCCCACGGGACATCCCGGGCTCTTCGAGCTCCCCACCCCCGCCGCTGCCTGGGAAGACCATTGGACAGCAGCCCGGGGAATTTAGAAGAGGGGACTCCGAGATGGGGCGTCCCCTCCCTCCGCGGTAACAGCGATCCGTACGGGGGCGGGGGGCTTTGCCGGGGATGGTGGACGCGGCCACGTCCAGGGCATCTCGTGTAGGGAGGACTCCTTATCTCTGCGGGAAGCGCCCCAGGGGGCACGGCGGGAGTGGTTCCTGTCCGCCGCCTAGGGCAAGTGGGGGCTGGTGACAGGTGGAGACAGTCCGACTCCACCCACCCCGGAAGTGGAGAGGGCCCAGGGGCCCGGTGGGGTCTCCCACCCTCCTTTTAGCCCAGGCCTGGGTGGGTGGAGTAGGGCATTGCTTCTCCGAACCGTCCTCCCTCCTGGTCACTGGCAGCCAGTCCACCTTCTCCCCCTCCGCTGGGGAGGGGCCATCCGCCCTCTCTGAGGACCCTTCACCTCCCGGCTCAGAGGCCCACACCCAGTTTCTTGGCTCCTGGGCGCCTACTCCGCTTCTCTTCCAGTCCAGGCCCCAGCGAATCTGCTCCTCCTCCCCTTCCTCCCCTTTGTCCGCGGTCCCTCCCTTCAGCTACCATCCTCCTCATCTCCCCATGACACACCCATCTCTCAAAACAAGACGTCTCAGAGCCTCTCCAGGCCCCATCTTCATGGAAGGTGCTGGAGACCATCCTCTAACAGGACCCAGGGGCTCCTGGCCTCCCCACAAAGGCACTCAGCCCTGACAGCACCCAGTGCCTCCAATCTCACCCTCCCTAAAGCCCACCTACCCCCCATAGGCCTCTTGCCTGGCACTGGGAGAGGGGAGGGAAACCATGGGTGCCCCCATCCCCCACACCCCAGTGGGGCCTGGCTTGGGGTGAGGGTGGCAGCCCCCGGGGTTTAAGGGCCAAACCCCCTGTGAGGATGGCACACCAGACCCCACACCCTCATGTCCTGCTCCTCACGCTTCCCTCCAGTCGCCCCCTGCTCCCCGGGACCCCCTTTCTGAGGCCACAGCTCTGCCCCCAGCTGGACTCCGCAAGCCCTGGGGTCTGCAAGGCTCGCACCGCATCCCAGAAACCCTCAGTGGCTGGCTGCCCATTGCCCTCAGGAGTGGGGGGTGCACCCCGTGCACGGTGGAACCCCAGACTCCCCCCCACGGACACTGGCCTGCTCCAGCCTTGAAGCCTCGACACTGTCATGTCTGTGCCCGGCGCTGGACCTCAGCATGGGTTCTGCAGGTAAGACCACCAGCCCAGCCTCCCCCACCATCCCCGCCAGTCCCTCGGTGTCTCCCTGGCCTGCGCCCGATGCTGCTGCAGACTGGTGGGGGTAACTGAGGTGGGTCCTGACTTCCCTCACCTCCTGGCTCCGGATCTGGAGAGAGGCAGAGCTGGTCAAGAGCAGGAGAGTGGCAGGCGAGGCAGAGGGACTCACAGAAGCACGGACACAGCAGGGGACAGAAGTGTAGACAGGCCAGAGAGGCAGGGGCCGCAGCAGGACGACAAGGGCCCTAGGCCCAAGACCACTGGTGAGGCAGGGGTGGGGGTGGGCTTCTGTCACAGTGGATCACGGGGCTCCGGCCACACTGGTCACACGTACCCCCTTGCAGCTTCCTGAGAAGGCTGCCCTGCAGGGGTGCGCTGGGCAGAGGCCTGGGCTCCAGGGCAGGGCTGCCTCCACCTCTAGCAGGATGCTGGACCACGCACAGGGTGCTGGCTGTGCCCGCGTGTGTCCTGCTGTCCGCGGACACGGCTGTGTATGAGTGCGTCTGTCTGGGTATCCCAGCTGCCTTGCCATGTTTCCCCGCCCAGCCCTCACCCCCAGCCCACCCACAGGCTCCAGGCAGGTGGGGCCGTGGACCAGCCCTGTCCGCTTCTCCACCCACCCCGTCCCAGGGATGCCCCCCGTCACTGTGACCGCAACCCCGCCCACCCTGGGGGAGCCCCCCCTTTGAAAACTGGGGTGATGAGGTTCTTGCCAGCTTTCCTTGTTGTTATTTCCCGTTGCCATGGTCACAGGGCTGCCGAGTGCGGGGTGGATGCCAAAGGGGGCCAAGGGCCATGTGACTGGCCCTCTGGTTGGTATACAGCACAGTTGTCCAGACACTCAGACACACTCTCACGCACACACACACTCACACTCGCTGTAACCCTCCCAAGTCGTCAGCCACAGACTGGCCTGCTCCTCCAATCCCCCCAAGCTCCCCACCCATCTTGCCTGCCTGTGAGGATGGGAACCCCTCAGTAGTGGCAGCCCCATCACCCCCCCGACTCTACGTCCAGGCGCACCCCCCTCTCAGGCTTGGCTGGGTACCAGTCGGGGCCCTGACAGCCTCCCTGGAGACCTGGGCCCCACCACGTGCAAGGCCTCCTACCCCCATCAGCTCACCTGGCTTGGATGCCCTGTGGGGGAGGACTGACTGAGGTCAACCTGAGAACCCCCAGGCCAGTTCAAGACCTAAATCTACCCTGCCCAGACTTCCACCCCTCGCCCTACTCTTCTGGGGGTGCGGTTGGCCTTTGTTCCCTGAACAAATGGAGGACACAGTGAGCCTCCTAACGTACCCCCCCTGCCCCCCAGTGCAACCAGCCCGCACAGGGGCTGTGTCTGGGGCCTGAGGGACAAAGTGGCCAGGACGGAGACGCCGAGCAACTCAGCTGCTTGCCCCAGGCTGCCTCTGTGCCCAGAAGGCCCCGCCTGGCACCAGGACAGCACGAGGGCACCCCAGGACCCCGAGACCTGGGGGAGGCAGCGGTGGTGTTCTGGGTACACCAACCGAGGCCACCTCTGTCTGCTCACCCTTCCCTCTGCACACCCCCATGCCCTTGCCTGTCCATGTACTGCCCAGGCCTGGCCGGGGACCCAGATGGCAACCAGGAGGGACCTGCCCTGCAGGACAATTACGGAGAGGGCCCAGAGGCAGCTCCCCAGCAGTGCTTGGGCTCCAGGCACCTGAGAGAACCAGTGAAGGCAGGGCCGGACCCCAGTGACCACTGAGGAATCCACCCGTGGGACCAGCCACCCACTGCCACTGGTAAAATTCTGCTGCTGGAGCTGGACAGCCCCTCCTGCACTCCCTCCCTCTGTGGTCTGGCCTCCTCCACCATCCTCCAAGCCCCCACCCAGTGCCCCGGCCTCCAGGCCCCTTCCTCAATGTGGACAAGCAGGGATGTGGACAGGTGTAAGGTTGTTCCCTCCTAAGGCTGAATGGCCAAATGCCCCGGGGCAACTGCTGGGCTCCCTCTCCAGTGTCCACCCCCTGCCCATCCCCCAGGCTCAGCTGAGTCATGGACACTCAGACATTCCCAGGGCCTATTTTCAGCCGCTTGTCCCCCGGGACCCCCTGTCTGCTCTGAGGTTCTGCCCCAGAGTGGGTCTGCACTTGCCCAGAAGGACTCTGCTCCTGTCCACCTGGGCCTCACCCAGAACAGGTGAGAGGGCAGTGCCCTCTTGGAAGCAGGAGTGGCTTGCAGACACAACCTTGCGCTCCCTCCGGCAGCCCTGCCTAGGGTCCACAGTCCAGCCAGATCGGGTGACCCCTCCTCTCCCTGAAGGCTGAGCCTTGTTCCAAGAATCTATGTCCTGGAGCCAAAGCCCATACAGAACTGCCTCAAATTCTGGCCTCACCAGCCCAGCAGCTGAGCCTTTTCATGGGCCCCGAGCCCCCTCCCCCCACTCCGGGAAGCCAGCCAAGCCCTGGGAAAACGGGCTGCCTGCACCTGGTTGTCCCGGTCCCATGCCAGTCTTCACCTGGCCCAGCCCCCAGCAGTCCACTGATTCCTTGACACTCAGCCCCCGGGACCACAGCCGGTGGCCGGTGAGCTGGTGCTTAGAACCAGGGACAGGAAGCAGTCCTGCCCCCTTCCATCAGTCCTAAAGAAATTCAGAGGGGCTAGCCTGAACTGGGTGGGGTCCTCAGGGAGCGTCCAGCTGGGGAAGGGCTGCTGAGGGCTGATGCTGGGGGTCACTGACCCAGGGGAACCTGGGCAGGGCCTGGAGGGAGCCAGGCTGGGAGTCCAGGACCCAGGAATCTGGGATCTGGACCTCAGGGAAGTGGGGGCAGAGGGAGGTGCAGGCAGAGCAGGCCCCACAGCAACTGGGGACACCAGCCAGGGCCACCCTGGCCCAGGTGAGAGGTGGAAGGCACACCACCTTGAAGGTGCCGGGCTTTCCCAGGCTGTAGAAGCCTGGACTGGTGGGAGGTGGGGTTCAGCTGGGGAGCAGGTCGGTGAAGCAGGCCTGGGCGCCATGAGCAGCCCTGGGCTTCTGAACGGGGAAGGAGGCTGTTAGATGGCATTTCAGGGCCGCCTCACTGGGTGGCACGGAATGGAGGGGTGGAGGTGGAGGCCGGGCGAGGGGCAGCGGCGAGGCGCGCGCCCGAGCACACAGGCCCATTCCCGCGACCCCTGCATCTTGCCGGAGCGTCGGGGGCTGCGGGCGTCGGAGGAGGCACCGGACTTGTCCGGGCGTCCTGGAGCCGGTGCCGCCGAGGAGGCCGCGGCAGCGCAGGGGCACGCGCTGTCCCACCGACACGCCTAGCGACGCGCGCCGGACCCAGGGGAGCGGCACCTCCCCGGTTTCCATGACAACCGCTGGGAAACAAACAAGGCGGCGCGTCATCCTCGGCCCGCAGGAAATGGGACGCGCCTTCCCCCGCCAGCCCCGGAGGCTGGGGCGCACTGTGTCCCGGGCGGGGCCGGGGCTCGTCTTCCCTGAGGCGATCCCTGCCCCTCACCCCCGCGCTGCCAAGCGGGATTTCACCCACAAGAGGCCGCGGTCGCTCCGGTTTTGGGGAAAGGGCACGCTGCCTGCCACGTCTCCTCCCCACATAGTTTCCACTGGAGGCTCCCGAGGGAGGGCCCGAGCTGTGCCCTTAGCAGCTCCCCACGCGGCAGGGGGCAGGAATTTCCCGTCCAACACCGCAGCGAGGGTGGGCAGCCTGTGCTCAGGAAGTCTGGAATCTCCCCCAGGTGTCCCCCCGACCAGGGAGTCAGGCCTGGCCAGAGGCGGCGGCCTTCAGCTGACCTTGCACCAAGTGCCCGTACCTGCCTGGGGTGGACGCTGGCTGCCCCTGGGGTACCTGCTCCAGTGTCCCCCCACACACACACCGCAGGCCACTTGCCCAGCACATTCTGGCTGCATTCCCAGGCTGGCCAGGTGGGAGGAGACACTCTGCCCACAGTGGGCACCTGGACTGGACTGCCTAGGAGGAAGGCGACCTGGAGCCAGCTGATCCGCCCCCAGGGACACGGATGGCTGTTCGCAGGACAATGCGAACCGCAATCAGCTCAGCTAGGTCTGAGCCAGTGGACTGGAGGGTGGGCCAGGGAGGGGCCTGTGCCAGGCTGGGGCACGGGGAGCTGGTCCTGGGGAGCAGGGTACATGGGCCCGGAAGGGCCAGGGCGGGTCCGCCTGGTTTCTGCCCCAGCGCCCGGAGTGGAAGAGAAGCTACGCCCTCTGGTGGGCTGTCCAGGAGCGGGCGGATAAAGGGAACAGACCGTGAGGAGGGGCTCCTGGCAGTTGCCAAGGGGTCCTGGTTCAAAGGGCAGAGCCGGGACTGCCTGGGGAGGCTGGGGGTGACTCCGTTATCACTGCAGACCCAGACACAGGGACACTGGTTGGGCGGAAGCACCTGAACAGGGGGCTCGAGCCTCACGTCCTGGCCCTCAGCTGCCGGTTCTGCCCCTTGGCCCCCACTAGTGCTAAGCAAGACCAGTCTCATCTGGCCGCTCCCCTCCCCCACCCGAGCCCACTGCACTTCCAGGCTCAGTCCTTGCCCCTGCCCACCCTGCCCAGCTCCCTGCACTCCCGAAGAGGACCCCTCCTCTGGCCCCCTGCCCCGTCCCCCACGTGCCAGGCCCTGGGCTCTTTCCCGAGGCTGACCCCTCCCTCGCCGTGGGTCTCTGATGGATCCAGGCGTCTCCTGGCAGTTCTGGGGACCAGGACCCCGAGCCCAGAGCGCTTGCCAAGCTCCCACCTCTACGTGGCCTGGTCCCTGTCTCAGCTGCCTGTCCCAACGCAGTGTTGGGGCCACAGCCCAAACCAGAGCTTCCCTGCCTCCCACCCACCCCCACCCACCTTGGGAACAGGACCCCACCCCCACCAGGTGTCAGGAGCATCTGGGGATGGCGCAAGGGATGCTGTCCGGGATTCACATCCACCCCACCACCAGAGACACAGCGCTCGGTCCCCCAATCCTCGAACCCTTTATTGACAGTCTCAGCAGGTTAGTGTGAGCCACGTGAGGGTGTCAGACAAGCGCTTGCAAGGCAGGGTGGGTGTGGGACGTGGGCGGCGGGCTCCTGGCAGGGACGCCCTCGGTCCGCCCGAGCAACACCGTGAAGAGCGTGGCTGTGGCCGTCACGGGCAGGGGAAGCAGAAAGAACACTGTGGGGCAGGCCTGGGGCAGCAGGAGGGGAGAGTGGGATGGCCGCCTCAGAGAGACCCACCCAGGGCCACGGAGACACACAAGGGACACAAGGGACACACGGGGACGCATGGGTCCATGCGGACACAGAGCCATGAGGACACAAAAGAGGATAAGGGGTGGGGGGGTACGAAGGCCAGAGAAACGGGGATGGGCAGGCCTGGTCTAGAGACAGCCCAGCGGGGTCTCCTCCCCCACAACACGCAGGCCCTGGGCTTGCGAGGCAGGATGAGCCGGGGAGGACGGCGGCAGCTAGCTGCTGTCCCCCACGGGGCCAGGCGGTGGGCTCCGGAGCAGGGGGCGGAGGGGCCCATGGCCTAGGGCTGAACTTTGCCCTCTGGGTCTCTGTCGTAGATGTAGCTGCCGACAGCTCCAGTGTTCACCCCTGCAGACAAAGGCGCAAGGTGGTGGGGTGCCGTGGGGGCAGGGCGCTCGAACCCCCGCCCTCCTGGCCACACTCACCCTTGGGTCCGAAGAGTATTCCATAGCAGGGCTTGTGGCAGTAGGGCTGGCCATCGTGCTGGGGGCAGAACGGGGACTGAGCGGGGACTCCAGTCCTCCCCCCCAGCCCCCCCCAGCCGCCTCCCCCCCGTCCACTCACCCGGTGGAGAGGGAGGGGCCTCGGAGCATCTGTGCACCCGCGGGCCCCCACTCTGGCCACCAGGGGGCAGCACCCACCCGCGGGTCGCACGCACGCACGCGCGCGCAGCCCTGCCGCCACCACCCCTCCTGGGCGCGGGCGCTCCCGCCCCTCACCTCCGCGTGCCCGCCTGGAGTGAGTGTCTTCCCACAGCGCTCACAGCGCAGGCACGGGCGGTGCCAGTCCTTGCCCAGGGAGGTCACCTTCTCGGCTGGGGGGGGGGAGAGATGGTGAAGCTGGGGACCCTCCCGGGCAGACCCCCCCCAGGGGCTGCTGCGGGCGGAGTCACTCACCAAAGTAGACCCTCTTGTTGCAGCGAGGACACATGTTGGGTTCCCCCGTGAACGTGGTGACGCTGGAGGCTGGGGGAAACACCGCGAGCGGCAGCCCGAGTCAGGGCAGGGCCGCCAGGACGCCCCTCCTCCCCCACACCGCGCCCAGCCCACCTTTGCTGGGCCCCTTGGGCGGACCGCCGGCCTTGCGCTCCTCGGCCCGGACCACAGGCACCTCGATGGGGCCAGTGACCTGAGGTCCTTCGGCGGAGGGCTTCTCATAGATGTAGGAGCCCGCGCCTCCGATGTTCACACCTGTGGGGAGCTAGACGCTGTGGTGGGGGGGAGGGGCAGCCGCCCCCAGCCCCCACACCCCATCCACCTTCTCAGAGAAGGGCCCTCCACAGCCCACTCTATAGGGTCAGGACCCCCCACCCCGAGGGTGCCAGCCAGCCGGGTAGATTCCTGGGAAGGGCATGGAGGATGCTAGAATTTCAAGGGTGGAAGGATTGTGGGGGAGGGTCGAGAGCGGGCAGGGGGAGTGTGGGTCCAGGATGCACGCTGGCCACCCCTCCTGGTGCCCTCCTGGTGCCAGTTCTCAGGCTGAGGAGGGGGACCAAGCTCACCTTTGGGTCCGAAGAGCGTGGCATAGCAGGGCTTGTGGCAGAACGGCTTCCCGTCGTGCTGGGCAGAGGAGCACCGAGTGAGGGCTGGCCCCCTGCCCACAGCCCCGCTCTCCGCCCCCAGCCCCAGGGGAGGGGGCTCACCTCGGCATGGCCCCCCGGGGTCAGCGTCTTGTTGCAGCGCTCACACTTGAGACAGAACTTGTGCCAATCCTTACCCAGAGAGCTCACCTTCTCAGCTGGGGGCAGGAGGGGAAGTCAGGGCCAGGGCCCAGAGCCCTCCCGTGGCAGCCGCCTCACCCCTCCTCCTTCCACCCCACACAGGAACCCCCAGCGCCCACCACACGCCCTCTGCCCCTCAGGGTCCCTGCTCTCCTGCTGGGTCTAGGTCACCCTCCCACCCCAAGGATCACTGCTGGAGCACCTGTTAGTCCTCTCGGCATCACACCTGGCCCTCCCTCAAACACCTGCTTCCCACTCACACACCTAGCCCTCCCTCACAGATTCCTGAACCCTCCTAATTGGGCCCTAAAGGAGTTGGCAGAGCCCGCCGCTAAGGGGAATGGGGGGCCCCCTGTGGGGGGGCTAAGGCCATCCCCTCCCACCCCATGGGATAGAAGGCCTACCTGTCTATATTCGGTTTCCTCGGGATAAGCCCTGAGAACCCCCACCCCACTGCCTCCAACTGCTAGGGGCCCAGTCACCACCCCCCCAGCCACCCCGCCCCCGCCCGCCGGCCTACTGGGCCACCTCCTAAAGGACGGAAGTGTGGGGGGCCTCCCCAGGAGAGCACGGCAGGAAAAGGGTGGTGGAGGAGAGGGCAGGAAGAAAGGCTGGAGCCAAGCCGGAATTCCGAAGGGAAGGGGTCTGAGCAGAAGCATCAGGGAGGAGGAGGTCAGGCAGGCTGGGCCCCTGCCACCCTGGCAGAGCCCCAAGAGGAGGCCAAGGACCAGCAGATATCTTCTGGTCCCCTCACAGAGAGGTTGCAAGCCGGGCTTCCCCGAGGGCCCCGGCAGAGCGGGCAGGAGGGTCTGGCCAGCTCACTCCCTGCCCCCAGAGGCTCATGGGTGCTGCTGCTGGTGGCCCAGGCTCCAGGCCCTGGGTGCTGGCTCCCCACGGCCCTGGCAGAACCTGCTGGGTCCAGCCAGGCCAGGGCCAGCCTCCAGGACCCAGCCCCCCACTCCCTTCCCAGAGGCAGCACAGGCTTAGATCCCCATGGCCACTCTACCCAAGGATGCTGGGACAGGCTGGTCAGCCACCCCTCCCGTGTCCGAGGCGGGCTTGGGTCCCCTGGCAGCCCCGCACCCTCCCCCAGGGCTCCTGCTGGCCAGCAGTAGCCATGGCAGCTGCAGCTCACGGTGGCCAGAGACGTGCTGCACTGGCCAGCTCTAGCATTCGGCCATGCGGGGGCAGGGGAAGGACCCTGAGACCCACTGGGTGGGGAGACAGCCGCACATTACCAGCCCAGTTGGGAAGAAAGAACTGATTGGGTCTATCGGCTTAGAAGGGAGCTGGTTCCCCACTGGGCTGCACCATTGTTAAGGACACAAAGGCAAGGCATTCTGAGGTCACTCTGGGGTGTCCTGGCCCAGGTTCCACTCTGCTGAAGGGTGTTGGCTGCTGTTGGGGGGTGGGGGGAAGAGGTGCCTGACTGGGGGATGGGCAGGATCCCAGCCCAAAGCCCCCCCCACCCCCCCTCCGCTAGCGCCTTCTGCCCAGGACAGAGAAGCCAGCCGTGTCTGAGCTGCCTTTGTTTTCTGCTGGGAGCCAGCTACCGCCCAAGCAGGCAGAAGCGTTTTCCGGGCTGTCCACAGGACTGTCGGCCCCAGCCCTGGAGAACCCTGAGCTGGCCTGGCTGGGGGCAGACTCATGGGCAGTGGGGCTGGCAGGAGGACCCTAGCGCTGTCCCCTCCCCTGAGACTTGCAGGGATGAGCCCCCTCTGGGATGGGGACCGAGGACTGGGCCAGCTCCTGGGGAGGCAGCCGGAAGCCCCTAGGCTCCCAGCCAGGCCAGAAGCACTCCAGGCCAAATCCGGTCCCTCCCCTCTGGGAACAGCAAACAACAGTCCACCTCCTTCTCTCTCCCATCAGCAGGGAAGCCAAGTGGCTTCCTTCACCTTGGCCTTTCCCCATTCCAGACCCTGACCACTGCTCCCACAGTGATCAGGGAAGGGTCCCCTGTCTGCCCCCACCCTTCTGACACTGTGTGTCCCTCTGTTGAGGGTGTTAGTGGGAGGATCAGGGGGCAAAGTCGGGAGAGGATCAGCCAAGAGAAGAGAGAGTGGCTGAGTAAGCCAGACAACCGGGTGCAAGCGCCAGGGAGTGGGTGAGCGCCAGGGGGTGCCGCATACCCAGGGGGCATATCAGCAGAGACCTGCTGCCCCCTCCAGTCCCGGGCTGCTGTGACCTTGAGGCAGGGGCGCTCGGCCACCTCGCTCCAGTGCCCTCTCACGCTTGTGGGGCCCCGCTTGTCATCCCACCCCACCCACAAGAAAGTCCTGGGGAAAACTCGCGCCAAGCAAGGGAGCACGTTGGGACACGCAGGAGTTAAGAGGCCAAGGTCGCCCCCGCATGGACTGAGTCCAGACAGAGCCCATATCTGGCCTGGCCCGGTGTGGGCAGAGGTCGAGTTGGAGGTTGGGGGGGGGGTCACTGCTCCCGGCCACGCTGTCCTCGCCACGTGTCCGCGGAGAAGGGCCGTGAAAAGCAGGAGCGCACGGGAGGCTCCCACAGCGTGAGTGCGCCCTGCCCGACACCGCCCCGCTCCACGCCTGCGAACCCCCAACCTGACCCCCGACCCGGCCTCATCCCGAGGACCGCGCACCCCCGCCCGGCCCCACCGGCCGCTGCGGGGTTCGGGCGTGGCTGCCCCCACCTCGTCCAGCTCCACCCTCCGGCCGCACCCGCGTGGACAGCGCGGCGGGCCGTGCTCGGGGCCGCGCATCCCGGGACCGCGCATCCCGGGGCGGGGCGCGAGGCTCTGCGGCCGGGGGCTGACGGCGGAGGGCGGTGGACGCTGGCCCGGCCCAGCACTCACCGAAGTACACGGTCTTGTCGCACTTGGGACACTTGGAGGCCATGGTCGGTGCGCCCGTCGACCCGCGCCCTCAGCCCGCGCCCGTCTCCGCGCCGCCGCCCCGCCCCGCCCGCCGGCTGCCCGCGCACCCATTGGCTCCGCGGCCGGGGCGGGGCCTCGGGAGCCCGCTCCCGGGGTCCGGCTGGGGGCGCCGCGGGGGCGGGGGCGCACCTGCCGGGGCCGCGAGGGTGGCCCGACCTGCCAGGCGCCCCGACGCCGGTGCCTCGCCCGTGTCCATGGCAACGTCGGAGCCGGGGCGGGCGGGGGTCTGTAGCCCCCACGGTTCCGGGGCATTCCTGGCTGTAAGGGCCTCGGCCCGGAAGGCCGGCCCCTGGACACGCAGACGGACGCCGGGCTTCGGCGCCCGGTCCCCACCCCTGGAGGACCCCACCTACCCCGCCGCGCGCTCCCCCACCCCGCCCCGCGTCCCTTTGTTGCTCGGTTTCTATGGCAACGGCCGCGCGGTGGGATCGGAGCCGGATTCCTGGCGGGTGCGGCCACCTGGCCCGGTCCCAGTCCTGCCCCGCCGCCCGCCCCCGCGACACCGTCGATGGTGCTGACGGCTAAGTGGGTGGAGGGCAGGGCGCCCATCACTTCCAAAAACAGCGGGAGAGAAACTGCTGGAAGCGGGAGAGGGGCAGGGCGCCAGGCCGTGAGGGGGACCTGGGCGTGCCGCAGGCGCGGAAGGCACTGTCCCCAAGCTCTCCACCCAGGGGCGGTAGGCAAGGGAGAAGAGAAGGGGGAAGAGCCCGGGCATGCTCGCTGTGCAGGCGCTGTGCTCCCTTGGGCTGGTACTGCCGTCTGCCTGCTCCCCCCCTCCCCACGTATCCCGACTCCCGCCGCGGGCACCCCTCCGCTGGACCCACTAGCTCGGGGCCCAGGGCCTCTGACCTCCAGCCTCCAGGCCCCAAAGCAGCAGTGCTAGGCATCTGCCAGCACTCAGGGTCCCCCTTCCCGGGCTCCACAGTCCTCCTCCCAACAGGGGCGTTCCTGACCCCTCCCACCCCTCCCTGCCTCCATCCCAGGCCCGAAGAACCTGGTCCTACCACCCCTGGGGTGGGGGATCCAGGAGGACCCCTTCCTCTCCTCCCTGAGGCTCTGCCTCCCAATAAGCTCTTCCCTTGGCCTCCAGCCCAGCTGAGCCTCAAGCCCAGCAAGTGGACAGAAACCCTAAGCCCAAAAGACCCCACCTAGTCTGGGCAACTCCCTCAGAGCACCCCTTCCCCCTGCCCCATGTACCAGCCAGGCTCCTGGGGTCAGGTGTATTTGCACACTGGAGTGAGAGTCTCGGTCCCACCGCTCTCCAGAACCCAGACTTTCACCGTAGCCCCGCCTTCGCCCAGCTCCCTGGCCCCCCCCCCCCCCCCCCGGCACTCACACCCTATAGCCACTGCTGTTCCTGCGAGGACAACAGCCCAGAAACATGTGGCCCCCGCCCCCCCAGCCTGATCTGACCAGCCTGACCAGCCCCCCTTCCGGCCCGCAGCCTGACTCTGGCCCCTTGCCAGGCAAGGCAGGAGAGGGGGGCGGGGAGGCCTCAGCAGTCCTCTCTTCCTGGGCAGGGTGGCCAGCCATGGGGCTCCCCCACACGTCGGGCATTTGCAGCCCACTCCTTGCTAAGGCTGGGCATCAGGTATCTTCTGTAAGGAGGTTATGTGTGGGAAGAGCCTGGGGCCCAGCCCTGCGGGGACAGTGATGGGGCATAGCAAGGGAAAGGCGTTGGCATGGGCCAGGCACCCCTGGACAGAGTGGGGGGACAGATCCCGGATGTGACAGGGCTCTTCTGGATCAATGGACACTGAGTAGCAGTGTCCACCTCTGAAACCACAGGGGGCTACAGGCGGGGGCAGGGACAGGGCAGGACAGGCTCCCAGTGAGCAGGATGGATGGGGACAGCAGGGTTCCAGAGAAGCCCATCGATGGCGGGGCCAACTAGCCAGCCAGGTGTGGCGGCAGGTCTGTCCCCTGGGGCCGTAGTGGCATGGCGTCCTGGCAACGTGGGTAAATAGCACCTAGGACCGTCTTGGCTCTGTGGCAGGGACCCCCGGGCAGGGCGGGGGGCGGGGGGTTTGGAGGTGCAGCCCCTGTGGGTCTGCAGGCAGGCCCCTCCTGGGGATGACTCTTGCACCTGAAATCCCGTGTGTCTGAGGAGGAAAGAGACCCCTGCCCCGTCCTCAGACCCCAAGGTTGGGAAGAGGCTCCTAGGCAAAAGCTCCTTGCTGAGACACCACAACTCAGTCTCGGGGCAGGGTAGGGGCACGAGGACTCCAGCAGATTACAATCGGCTGGGAGGGGCCACTTTTTCAACACCCTGGCCTGTCACCTTACGGGGCCCCATCACGGGCTGGGGGTGGGAGGCCAGGACTCCCTTATCTGTCTCCAGCGAGGAAGCAGAAGTGGTTTCTATTTTAATTCCCTGGCTGAGATGTGAACACATCATGGCGGGACTGGGGGGCAGGAGGCAGAGCTCAGGGAGGCAGGAGGAGGGAGCCCCACCCCAGGAGGGCCCGGCTCACCCTTCTGCAGGTGGGCTGGGGTGGCACAGACTGAGAGTGTCCCCCCCAGACCCCTCTCCCCAGTGGCCAGATAGCTCCGGCCTGTAAGGGTGGGTGCAGAGGGATGGCCAGAGGTAGAATTTCTGAGAACGACGTACTTGCTGAAATCTGAGCAAATCCTCACTCTGGAAACTCCACACCTGCTGGGGGTTGGCCCTACGGCTCTGGGCAGAAATCCTCGGACAGCTGGGGCAGGGCTCTGCCAGGAGCAGGGTGGTGGGCTGGCCTGACCCAGCTGTGTTGGCTGCCCCGGTGGGAGGGAAGCCACGCTGAGCCAGAGGATCCACGCACCTGCCAGTCTGGGTCCCAGGCCACGTCTGGGCCACACACACACCCCCCCGCCCCCATCTCAGCCAGACACAGGAGGTCTCAGCTCTACTGTGGGAGGGCCCTGAGCTCTGGCCGGCCCTCTCCCGACCTCCGTGGGCAAGAGGGCGTCCTGGGGCCGGGCCCTGCTGAGGCAGGTGTGTGGGTCAGAGGCAGAGGGACGACAGAAACCCCAGCCCAGCCTGGAGGCCAGGAGAGCCGAGGGTCCCCCGGTGCTCACGGGGGCTTTGCCGCTGCCTGGTGCACGGGGGCCCGGGATGGCCTGAAGCCCCCAGGCAAGGGGAGGGACGGGGGATAGAAGACACGGGAAGAGCTAGTTGGTTTTTCTTTTTATGAGTTTTTTTTTCTTTGTTTTTTTTAATATGAAAATTACTTGAAAAGACCAGGGGCCAACCCCACCAGGCAGCTCGGCCAGCCGCTGGCCGTGCCGATCCTAACATTCCAGATGTAAGTTACAGAGCTTAAGTTCATCTACAAAAAAAGTAATAAAAATAAAATTTAAAATGGCACCTTCAACAGAACACAACAAAACCTCCGGCCGGCCCGCGAGGCCCGCAGCGCGATGCAGGCGCGCAGGGCAGCTCCTCAGCTCCGCTCCGGCCAAAAAGTAAACACAAAGCTAAAAACGAGTCCTCGGCATTCTGGGAAGCAGCTAAACGGTACTCTTCCCGAGGTGTCCCAAAGGAGCGGTTTCTCTGCAGTGGGGGCGAGAGGGGGCACTACCAAAACCGGGCGGCGGGCGGGCGGGCGGGCGGGGGGGCGGGCTGTGGTTGCGGTGGCCTCGCGGGGCGGCGGGGCGCCTAGTCCTCGATGACGATGGGCTCGTCGTTGACGGGGGCCGGCGGGGGCGGCCGCAGCGGCAGGGCCTGGCTCTGGCGCAGGGCAATGGGCTTGTAGGGCCTGCGGGCGGCGCGCTTGGTCTCCGAGGACGATAGCAGCTTGCGGATCTTCCTGTGGACAGAGCGACGCCCCCAAGTGACAAGGGTGCGGCGGCTGCCCCCCTGCTCACCCGCGGCCTCGGGGAGGCCCCCACCTGGTTTCCTCGGTGGCCATGTAAAACACATCATCGGGGGCGTCGATCCAGTTCATCCTCCGCCGCTTGACGGGGGGCAGGGAGCCCCCCCGGATCAGGCGCACTTTGGTGGGGTAGGACTTCCCGTTGAGCAGGAGGTTTCGGCTTGGTCCCTGCGGCAGGGGGAGGTGTGAGGGGGACACCGCGGGGACTGCACGCTGCCCCCGACACCCAGCAGGAGGCACGTGGGCCTGGCCATCTGGGCCGCCTCCCAGACTGCCAAGGGAGCTGCGTGCAAGCAAACGTCGTGTGCGCACACGTGCAGGGGAAGGGGTCCTGCTAGGCCCCGCCTCGTCACAGCTCGCCCTCTTACCATGTGCCTGGTCTGTCCGTGGTTCGCCAAACCTGACAAGAGGAAGAACGGAACGTGAGGCCCGGCAGCCAAAGGGCGGGAGACCTGGAGCCACAGCCCGTACCCAGGGGGCGCCTGGAGGACACAGGTGCCTCGGCCTTCCCCGGCCCCGGCCCAGCCCAAGCAGCCCCCAGGTGATCCCACAGGTGCTGGGGCTCTGAGGACCACCTCTGCCCTGGCCAGCAGGAGAGGCACCGTCTTGGGCTCGACGCAGAAGGCCAGGAGCCTCGGGTCCGACAGCCCGCTCCCTGGCACGCGGGCCACCCGCCCAACTGGGCTGACACAGATGGAGCCTGGTTTACACGGTAGCCGAGCAATGCCGAGCCCTGCGGTAAACACCGTGCTACCAGAATCCCCTCTGCAAGGCGGCCCCTCCTCAGGCAGCACTGCACAGACCCCGGGAGGCCAGGCCGCACTGGGCTTCTTCCCAAGGGGCTCTAAGCACCCCTCACTGACCCCTGGGCTAGCAGCCCTGGAGGAGTGGATGGAAGCTTCTAGAAGTGGCCAGGGCAGATGCTGCCACCCTATGGGCTGGGGGTCTGCAGCCGCAGGCCTCTGCCAGAGCCTCCGACCGAGAAGGCACCGTCCCAGGTCGTGGTCCACATGCCCCCAGAACCCAGCCAGGTGACCCCGGGGCCGTCACTGCCTCCCCGGCCCCGCCCGCAGCAGAGCTCACACGCGCACAAGAAAACGCCCGTGTGTGAGCGTGCGAGCCTGTCCTGCCAGAGGCCTTCCAGAACTAGCTCTTCCCAAATACGCTTCTTGGCCGAGGGCTGTCTCTTGAGCAGC